TGCCCCATAGCTGCCCTATAAGTGCCCCATAGCTGCCCTATAGCTGCCCCATAGCTGTCCCATAGCTGCCCCATAACTGCCCTACAAGAGCCCCATAGCTGCCCCATAGCTGCCCCATAGCTGCCCTATAGCTGCCCCATAGCTGCCCTATAGCTGCCCTATAGCTGCCCCATAAGCGCCCTATAAGTGCCCCATAGCTGCCCCATGGCTCCCCCACAACTCCCCCATAGCTCCCCTATAAGTGTTCTATAGCTGCCCCATAAGCGCCCCATAAGTGCCCCATACCTGCCCCATAGCTCCCCCATAGCTGCCCTATAGCTGCCCCACAAGTGTTCTATAACTGTCCCATAGCTGCCCTGTAATTACCCCACAGCTGTCCCATAGATGCCCCATAAGTGCCCTATAAATGCCCTATAAGTGCCCCATGGCTGCCCCATAAGTGTTCTATAGCTGCCCCATAGCTGCCCCATAACTGCCCCATAGCTGCCCCATATCCCATAACCCCACACCCCATAACCCCATTACCACATAACCCCGTATCACAACCCATAGCCCTGCATGTGACCCCGTAACCCCATAACCCCATATCCCACCCCATAACCCCATAATCACATCCGTGACCCCACACCTGACCCCATAACCCCATAAGCGACACCATACCTGACCTCATAACACCATACCTGACCCCATAAGTGACCCCATAATCCCATGACCCCATACTTGACCCTATAACCCCATACCTGACTCCATAACCCGCTAACCCCTTAAGCGACCCCATACGTGACCCCATACCCCATAACCTCATAAGTGACCCCATACATAACCCCATGACCCCATAAGTGACCCCATACCTGACCCCATGACCCCATACCTGACCCCATGACCCCATATCCCACCCCATAACCCCACAACCCCATTCCTGACCCCATAACCCCATGTGACCCCATATCTGAGCCCATAACCCCATAAGTGACGCCATATGTGACCCCACACATGACCCCATAACCCCATATGTGACCCTATACCTGATCCCATAACCCCATGACACCGTATGTGACCCAATAACCCCATAACCCCATAAGCCCGTAAGTGACCCCATAAGTGATTCCGTATGTCACCCCATACGTGACCCCCTACCCCACCCCATAACCCCAAAACCCCATACCTGACCCATAACCCCAGAAGTGACTCCATACCTGACCCCAGAACCCCATAAGTGACCCCATAAGCGACCCCATACGTGACCCCATACCCCATAACCTCATAAGTGACCCCATACATAACCCCATGACCCCATAAGTGACCCCATACATGACCCCATAACCCCATACGTGACCACATACCCCACTCCATAACCCCAAAACCCCACATGTGACCC